GGCTCTGTGCTCTGTTAGCTATTACTACTCTCTAGTTTGCCTTTCTTGCACCAGAAACTCTCGTTATTAATGACAGGTGGTTTATTCTATCAAAATCATTACCTAGTGTCTGTGTGTCTCTGTATGATCAAAGGAGGATTACAATAGTAGCTGAAATCTCTACTGAAGTACTTCCCTTTGAGTTTGGTGCTAGTTTACCACATTTTCTGTCCCCTGAATCAGAAGTAGAAATTTAAAGGTACTGACCCTGCCTTTTTAGTGGACTTTTTCTCTAGCAGTATGTCTGAGGCAGCAGCTATAAAGTTTTATAAAGTTGTTTACCCCTAGTTGTAATTACCTTTGATATTTAGAGGTGAATTATTAAGTAGAGTAAATGAGTTTGTCACAAGAAATACTTATGTTCTACAAATTTAATCAGAAGGCTTAAAATATATTAATTGTTCTTTAGTGTGATCTGATCTTCCAGGTATGGATGCTAGCTAATTGCAGAACCATTTAGGACATATTAATCATATTAGGAAAGATAGGAAAACCTAGTATTTTACTTGTTTTTGTTATTTTCTATGCTTAGCATTCCTTGCTTTTGTTAAGTCCCTTAACAGTTTTTGATTTTTTTTTTTTGAGGTTGGGTTTTATGTAGCCCAGGTTGGCCTTGAACTCCTGATTAACCTGTCCAGCCTCCCCACTTCCATGATAGGTTTGCACCACCATACACAGGGTTTTTTGAACACTTTTAAAAAATTCTTTCCATTTTTTTTATCATTATTTGTGTGTGTATGAGGGAGAGGGAGAGAGGAATTAACATACACCATAGCATGCATATGGAGGTCAGAGGACAACTTTTGGGAACTGATTCTCCTGCCATGTGTTCTAGAGATCAAAAGGTCATCAGGCTTGCACAACAAGCTCTCTTACACATTGAGCTGTCTCACCAGCCCTGAAGATTTTTTATTGTAGCATAAGATGCATAAAATTCAATTTTAATTGTTTAATTTAGTGACATCAAGTATAGTCAAACTGATTTATAATTACTTACACTATCCATCTCTAGAAAGTTTTCATCATCTCAGATATAAACTTTGTACCTATTAAATGATTATTCTCTATTTCTCACCCTCCCTGGGAATCACACCAAGGGCCCTGTAGTAATATGAGCAGCGGGCCTGCGTCCCCAGCACCCCGGCCGCCTGCTAGCTTATGCCCTGAAATAATTACACGGACACTGTATTCTTTTAAACACTGCTTGGCCCATTAGCTCTAGCCCTTACAGGCTAATTCTCATATCCCGATCAACCCATCTCTAATATTCTGTGTAGCATCAGTCTTACCGGGAAAGATTCAGCATGTCTGACCTGGCAGCTTGCTTCATCACGTGCCTCTGCCCAGGAGAGGGGAGCAGGGCTTCTGTCTGAGGCATCTGCCCCAGACAGGAGAGCTATTGAGTCTGAGCTCACTTCCTCTTCCTCCCAGCATTCTGTTCTGTTTACTCCTCCCACCTATGTTTTAACCTATGAGGCCAAGCAGTTTCTTTATTATAATTAACCAATGACCTTCCTCCATCAGGGCCCCATTTCATTTTTTCTATAATACCTGAGTTATATCCCCCAAATCTCTCTTCAAATCTTTATTTTAATTGGGTTGTTGATTATTAATTAAAATTAAAGCCATAATCTGATGTCTTCAATGTACCTACTATGATAGCTAAGAATACCCACTGTGTCTGACTTGCGTTTATACAGTTGATACAGTTGTGCATGCTGTCACAGCTGCTGTGAGTTCATATATGCAGCTTCCCTGTTATCCTAGAAACACTCTTTTGTAGTAGTCATCCTCAACATCTTACAATCTTTCTGTCGTCTTCTGCAATGACCCCTGAGCTAGCTAGCTTGCTTTCTTTCTTTCTTTCTTTCTTTCTTTCTTTCTTTCTTTCTTTCTTTCTTTCGATTTCTTCTTCTTCTTCTTCTTCTTCTTCTTCTTCTTCTTCTTCTTCTTCTTCTTCTTCTTTTTTTTTTTTTTTTTTT